GTAATTGTTTTGTGTTCTCATGTGTTCTCAACTTTCTTGTGACAAATCAGCTGACTGCGTTCGAGAACCTGGTGTGTCGTATAAAAATCACACAGCTGCCGTTCGGAAAGGCGAAGCGTGGATTAAAATCATATAGTTTTCGGCGTTCGGAAGGGTGTTTGACACGTATTGATGTACGCACCGAATACTCTAGAGTGAAATTTAAGCTCACATTTTGAAGATGCACTCCCTGAAATAATTTCCACACCAACAACCAGGTTTTCGAACGCAGCTCTCTGATACCCAAAACATAAACAGACTGGTTTATAAACATTCTATTTTCATAAGTGCGAGAAAGAGAGCCAGGTCTCATTCTGGAACCAAACAAATTCTATAGCACATTATTATCGTTATTAGTCTAGAGAGAGAGAGTGTTCAATGGTCGAAGGGTATAATGTATGAATGTGCACTTTTTCTGTTCAATCAGACATTACCAAACTTACCGATAATAATCCGGTTAATTTGGGTTAGTTTGCAATTTCAGTCTAACCCGAAGTGACTGAGTTATTATCGGCAAGTTTGATAATGTCTGATTAAACTTTGCGAACTATTAACACGTTAGCTACCAAATGAGTCACCATTGATGCATAAGATTCAGTTGCTTTTATAACGGCACGGATGTTTGACCCAATTTACCCCCAATACGAGCTAGTCGACGTTTCTTTACGACAAATTGACATTACGACGAATTGACGCTACGGCGAATTGATGTATACGACGAATTGACGTATACCATAAATTGACTTTACGACGAATTACCGTACGACGAATTGACGTACGACTGAATGATTTACGACGAATTGACGGTGACCCATTTCTTTACCAGTCTGTTCACCTGAATTCTTCTGCTTCTTACAATTGGAAAAAAATCTCATGACTCATCCATAATCAGACGAACAATTTTATTGAAACCTGAAAAATATGTGTAGTATCTACCAAGTGAAATTTGTTGTTTGCACCGAAAGCGACGAACTTAATTTCTTTCTCTTCTCTTCATTTACCAAATCTTCACCACCACATTGATATTTTTGATCAAACCATTCGCTAACTGGTTTCTGAAGCCACATAAAACCCTTCCACCATCTTCCATCAGCATGTTTATTTTCGAAGCAAACTTTTGATGGAAGATTTGCTGGATTTTCATCTCCAGGTACATGAAACCTGTGGTCCTTACCAGTAAGTCGTTGAATTTCCTGGACAGGTTCCATACAAAGGGTTTCCACTGTTCCTACCCCTTGTAGTCCCGCTACCGTCGTAGAATCAGTACAAAAATAGCACTTCATAGGAAAGTCGAAATTATCCAAGACAACCTGTGAAAGCCTGCCTGCCATCAACCGTCGCAACTAGCAATTCTAATTCTAGTCTTGGTATACTGGTTTTCTTCAGTGGAGCGACTCTCGACTTAACTTGAACCAGGGATACGAAAACCTTTCCATAGGTTCTGATCGTATAAAAATAGCTGTAGCATATTCTTTACGGGTGTGGCGTCACAGAAAACATGCAGACTGCGACCCTCAGCATTTTCAGTATTGAAAAACCATCTAGGAAACTTCATCTGTACCAAGTATGGAAGTTCACACATCCACCTGAGAAAATTAAGTCCAACCTCATTTTCTACTTTAGTATTCCGGTCTAACTTTAACTCCCAAATCTTCTGAATCAGTAACTTGGGATATAAAGCTACATATCTTTTGAACACTGAGTTGTTTTTCCCAATCCGTGAACCTGAAGTGTGTGAAGTTTTTCCTTAACACTAGCTACTACATCAATTTCGAAATAACATCAACAGAATGATGGGACTCGCCGGCAAGAAATCTATTTGAAAAGGGACTGCATGTAATCGCTTCAAATAAACTTCAAAAAATTCTTTTCTGACATGGCAAGACCAATTTGCAAGAATGCTTTTCTAATATCTGCAATAAAAAAATTCCTATTATGTGTATTCTGAATCGTTGTAATATCGCCGGTATCAGTTGAATCAATTTTACACCACTTCCTAAACAGTGGTTGAGTGATGGGTGTCCCCTTTCATCTGCTGTAGCATCAAACACTGGGCGTATTTCTGTTGTCCTATTGGAGAGCTTAACAACTGGACTGGATGATGTAGAAAATATCCTGTGTTCTTTGAAATACCTAATGGCTCTTCCACCTCCCCGATAATCCCTTCTTGCAACCATTCATTGGAATTTCATTGTACTTACAGTATAGGTTTTCTTTCTTTATTCTCTTCATTACCCATTTCTCAGATAAATAAAAATTTGGATGCAGAATGATCTTCGATCCATGGCATGTTGACCTCGTTTTCCATGGGATCTTCTTTTTACTGTCGATAAAAAGTATTCCTTAACCCTATTTTCTCTTTCTTTTGCTTTTTTTCACTTCTGAGAGTCCTGAATCCCAAGTATATCCAAGCTCCATAATTTAGTTATTGCCACGTCAGAAGAAAACATCGAAGAAATCAGCATTGACGGAAAATTTTCTGAAGATCTTGCAGTTTTCACTAAAAGAGTGTGTATCAAATTGAGACCACAATCTAACTCGTACTTTTATTTAGTCAGAAGTTTCGCCGTTATATCAGCTCTCACCAGAATGTCAATAGGCCCGTCTTCTATGTCTATGATTCGTACCTACCTACTTCTCAACTTTTTGAAACCAAGACCTGGACGAACAGACGAATTAGATAACATAATTGACTGGACTTAGATCTTCAAAATTGCATGAATACTCTTCGGTAATACTCTTCAGTCGTACTCGATAGACATCGTGATCAATTGCTTTAGACAAAGTACCTCTACAAAGTAAATGGATCAGCTGATCTTTTCGTATAACATTGACGTTATGTAGGTAGGATCTGAGTGAACCACTATCGAAAACGTAAGCTAATGCACTGAACACTAGTTGGTGTGGTTCTGACCGTTAAAATTCAGTTTCTAGATAGACGAGGAACCAAAATACGCTAATATGTGAGTGGGGAGAACCTATTAAGCCCGGGACACATCTATCATGCATTCTTCCGATCCGACTCCGATCATACAATCAGGGTCCTTATTCTTGGAACAGGGAACAGCGTTCCCAAGGAGAACGAGTGTTCCGTTGCTCCCTTGTTCCAAGAATAAGGACCTTGATTGTATGATCGGAAGAATGCATGATAGATGTGTCCCTGGCTTTATTCGGGTATTTAAATTTTAAATATTGTACCAGTATATTTAATTTATAACTTAATTTGAATATAAATCTAATTTGAAAATATTTCGCTACAAAAAATTTGTTTAAACTACCTAATCTAATTCAACATTTAATCTATAGAAAATAGCAACATATAACACAATCACATTTAGAGCGTTACAACCAATCTTGCTCTATGTGTTTGACAGTCACTTCTTAGTTTTATTACCAAGATCTGCAAAAACACTTCCGGATAGCCGATAGGTGTGATTTGAAAAATATTGTTCAGTACTTGTTGAAGAACTGGGAGCAGGCATTTCTTAAAAAAAAAATTCTTGATGATTTGGAATACACACAACTAACCCAAACTTTAAACATCAGTGACAGCATCCATTCTGAGTGGTAATTACTTTCTTCTTGGAGATAGGCCATCTTAATGCTTCATCGCAAGTCCAGGCAGCGTGTGCATTTTTAGAGAACATACCTACACGTTACATGATTTTTGTTTAGAAGTTCAGCTCCAGTGAATGGTAGGTATTTTCTTATCCTCTTGTCCTGCCTTGACCTTTGGTACGTTTTCATCGTACTTAGTTTTTGCCAGCGTGATGCGGACTCCATTTGCGACTTCTTTTTCAAGGAAATGCATTAACTTATGCAGACGATCCTTGAGGTTCAAGTCATCAGCATAACTAGAACTTCTCTGCCAACCTTGGATAAGTTCAGCATCAAGACACGTGACTTGACTAAAGTATCTGAAGTCACTCCAAGGGTCTCCAACGGACGTAGTTGTGCCTGAATCCTATTACAGAACGAAGAAAGAGATTTCTTTCTGTTCACATTAGCTAGAACCAACTTCAAAAATTTCTTCACGTAGAATGTGAAATTTATTTAAGAGAATTACCAGCACATACAGATTTTGAAAAATCCATCGTGTTGGTAAAACATTTTAGTGTTGTGGTAGAATATAGATTTAAATATAATAAAATCTTTAGATGTTTTCTGAAGATGGGAAAAAAGTACAACTGATAATCTTAAGAACAATATTGTTATTTATTATTGTGATTTACTATGCTAAATAAATAAATAAATAAATAAATAAAATAAAAAATTCAACCAGAAGATTTGGCCGTCCAAAACGTGTTTTTAAACTTTGAACTACCTACTTTTGGATAGTTTTCATCCGTAGCAGAGTAGCTTTCTACAAAAACACAAGCACGAGAATATGGTAGAGTCGACTGCAGATACTGAAATTTGTATTCATTTTCTATTTCAGAATCTTCGTCTATCCTACGAAACTGTCTCCATAATGGTAACCATTCCTTCAGATCTCCGCTATTTTTTTTTTAAATTTAATTACAGTTACTTTCATTCTGTGTCGTGAAGTACTAGTACTACTGAAATTATCCCTACTACATATGTCTTCTACTCCTATAATTTCAACTTAAAATAATCTATATTTAGTGTATCATTAGATTCAACCTCTTCCTGAAGGGCAGCAGAATTATCATCGTCAGAACTTAAGAGATAATCAACAAATTAATTCTACGATACTTTTAATTTTTCTTCTAGAACTCGAATAGGTACCGATTTTGTATTTCCAACATATCAGCCTTACCATCATTCAACATATTTCTCACATCGTCCTAAATGCTTTTTAATGCAATCTTGTTCAACTCCAGTAGGTCAGGCGAGTTTCAACAGTAATCACTTCAGGTTTCTATTCGAAAATCTCCTGCTGATGGAATTTCAAATAAGTACCTACCAAATCGAAATATTGAAACTAATCAATTTTTTAGAATGCCGGAACTTGAATCACCATCAGAAATCTTAAGACCAGAAACAATAAAACCAACTCCTGCCACTACATTAACTCCAGTTATTACCAAAGAAGTACTACCACTGCCACTTGATAAACAAGTTGAAGGTATTACAAAACTCTGATTACCGATTGAAATATTTTAATAATAAAATAATGGTTTTTTTGTAGCTCGAAAATGCAGCAGATACCAATTTGAATGTCGATCTACTGGTGAATGTATTGCTATATACAATGCATGTGATGGTATACCGCAATGTGCTGACGGAAGCGATGAAGCACACGAATTAGGTAAGAATTGAACTCAAAAAAGGTTGAATAACCCATTCTGTTTTATTATTATTGAAGGTTGTCCAGCTCTAGAAGCTGTAGCTAGTGCTGTAGCCCAAACAACTCCCACTCCTGCACCAAAAAATTTGCTTCCATTAATACATCAGGTACCTGCAGGAGCTCAAACATATGGCAGAGAAGGAGAATTGGTAAGTCATAATATATTTTTATTAGAAAATCAAATTAATATCTTTTCATAAACAATACAGCTGGAGTTTCTTGAATTTCACTTTCCGTTCTATATTCACCGTCAACAGCCACCAAAACGATTTCATAGCTTCTACAGCCGTTAAAGTTGTTTATAATTAAAAAATCTTCAGACTGTTCGGAGGGTGTTTCGATCCAATCGGGATTGCCTTTCAGTCGGTATTTCATAAAAAAGTATTCGCCAGGATTGTGGACTACGTCTGGTATCCATTTTATTAGGGTTTTTACCATGCAAGGATCATCACCAGCAGTAACCTAACAAAAAATAAAAACATCGGCATTGGTTGTTATGCCATAAATATGTACTTAAGTATGAATGATATTTCTTACTTGTTGTAGTTGTTCAGGGGCAACGGTGGTAGAGGGTTTAGGAGTTACCACTTTCTCGGCTGTCACATTGAAAATATAAGAATCATCATCAATGTGGTCAATACTAAGGGTAGATTGAGGTGTGTAGGGGTATCTAGGTTTGGAGCATTCTTTGTGGAAATAATCAGTTTTTTCCGTGGCGTTGTAGTTTATTTTGTATTTGAATGATGGCATTGAGGGTGGGTATGGTTGGTGAGGCTCCACTTCTACTACCAAAGTATTGCTGAAATTTTTTATAGATTTAGAGAAATAATGATGTGTTTCCTAATTGCTCTTACTGTTCGCTTTCTCCTGCACAATTCACTGCAGCAATTTCGATCTGATACTTCTGGCCTAGTTTCAAGCCCGTTATCTTGGCCTGAGTATTTCCAGGACCCTGGATAAATTCGTTTACAGTCGATTTTTCGTTGATGCCAAATTCCAGAGCTTCGCTACAGTAAAGATTGTAACCCAACAAAATACCGTTCGGCGTATTTGGTTTGCTCCATTGCAGTAAGGCCGAATGGGATCCCAGCTGGTTGTATTCGAATAGAAATGGCATACCTGGCTCTATAATATCATGTAAAATATACATATTTTCATTTATTTATTCGTCTGGATGATAACTTATCTAAATTAAAAATTTGACCTAAATGTTTGCTCTCAATCATTTTTATTATACCTGCTGTGTACAAATCAAAAGATTTAAAAAAAAATTACCTGTTTGTGGTGCATCAAAGCTGATAGCCGCACTTCTAGGTCCAACATATTTGTCGTTCCTTACCGAAACTGCAATGAAATTTTTCGAATACGGAAAAAATTGCACTGAGGTTTTGGTGATTTCCGGTGGAATTGCGTAGACTTGGCTCAGACCATTGTTCCAGATTCTTACAATGTAACCCCTATGGAAATAAGTTACAGTAGCAAACAATTGTGTTCGAATTTCGATGCTTACCTAAAGGTTCCTCGTACCGATTCAGATGGAATTGGTTCCCAGGAGATCACAGCCTCTTTGTCGTCGAAATTGTGCAGAGTTAAATTTTGCGGGGCTTTTAAGGGAATGAGTTCGCCTGTAAAAGTACCCTATCAAAAACCTGTACACATTCAAGGCTCGTTAAGAAAGTTAAAAAAATATAACTGATGGATTATTTTAGTTTACTTATTAAAATAATCATCCAAATGAAATTGTCCTTGCAAAACTGAATGTACCTAACTACTAAAAAATAATGCCCTACTCTTTTCACTTTGATAAGGGCGAATCAAATCGAAAATAGATGATAGAAATTACCTCTGGCTCAATATCAAATTCCTACTAGCTAGTATCAGATTTCCTGGTGACCACACAAACCATTCGCTATGTCTCTTTTGATTTATTTGTTGCATGTTCTATAAGTCGTTTTGAATATGATCCCAGTCCGTCTGTTTTGTCGCTATATTTAGCTTTCTATAAATCTTACGATAATCCTTGTTATAATTAGGTGAAACGCGGAATTGTGTTTTTGCATTATTTGTCGAAATTATTCTCGCTTATTAGCATGTATTGTATTGTTTATTTTCGTCAAATAACAGGAATTTAGACGTCGCTACTTTATACTTCTTTTATGCGTTCTTCTGAAATTTTATTTTGCTTTCTCAAAGCATGTAGGGGAGAGTTGGATATTGGTGCGCGTTCGATAATGGTGCGCACCATGATAAACGCAAAACCCTTTGAGATGTATGGATGAAAATCATTCCCGCGCCATCTATTTGTCATGTGGTAAACGCATAAAATTAACTAACACTAAGTGGCAACGCTGTATATTAAATATGGCCGAATCTGCAAATTTGCCTGTCTCAGTGTTGTTTTGTGGCTCCAGAAAATAAGCTGTAAGTATTGCACATTAAGCGATAAATAAATTCTGATTAGGCAGTTTTGTTCATTGTACTTTTCTTTATAAGTTAGGTTATTTATTTGTTGAAGATTTGTTTAATTTTTCTTTTGTTTTTAATCTAATAAATAAAAATAGCAAGTCGTCTAATGGTACGCAGGTGCGCACCATTACCAGACGTGCGCACTATTAGACGACTTTATTTTTATTTAAGATGTCCAAATATACACGCAAAACCACAAAGGCGTCATGGGACACATATTCAATAAGAAACGCAATTACCTTGATTCAGAGAGGAGGGTCAATTCGAGCAGCTGGGAGAAGATTTAATATTCCGGAATCTTCAATAAGAAAAAAAAAAAAGGGAATTTGATAATAGCACTAGTATTGCGGAACCTCATCTTGGTAAATACTGCGTCTTTTCCTCAAACCAAGAAAAGGAATTGAAAGATCATGTTCTAAAGCTAGCTAAAATTTTTCATGATCTCTCTACAGTCCGGTTTAAAAAATTAGCGTTTTCATTTGCAGAAGTCGTTGTATATAATATATGTCGTTATATATGCATTTAAGTATCAATACATTACAATCGTTTAGCGTGCGCACGATTACCATACCTATGCACACCACTAACCGCTGCAGTATGGTAATTGTGCGCAATGCAACTTTTTACAAAATCAGCTGTTTTCATTTTCCTAATTCAAACTGTACCGTTTTGACATGGGAATATAGTAGCTTATATATCAAACTATCGATATGCATCACAGAAAAATATCCTGACCTTTTAAATTTTGCGAAATATGGTGAGTGGCTTAGGTGCGCACCAATACCCAACTCTCCCCTACCGCATTTTTTCTTGCGTTTGCAAGTAGGTAATTTAATTTTTTTGTTTTTCGACTTTCAGGGACATTTTTTGACGCTTTTTACGTAGGTACCTAAGTATTCAAGTTTAATACAGAGTTCTTCAATTTCTTCCTTAATTTGTTCTAATAGGTTTTTAGTTTGCTTGTAGTTTTCGTGTTCTTGTTTTCAGTTGGTTATATCTTTATTACAAGTCTCATTTTTTAGTTCACTTATATGACTCCAAAAGACTTTCATTCATTTGATTTATTTCTAACAGCATATCAGACTTTTCGCATTTCAAGTTCAATTCAACTCCGTTATCTTATGTAGTTTCTGTATTTTCAATTTCATCTATTTGTTCGAAATTGGGCTCGTATGGTTATTTTATTTTTTGTTTCAAATACTTTAATTCCAAGTCTTTATTTGTTTGAACAAGTCTGACGATTTATCGCTGGATTTTTCTGTTAGTTTTTGCTCTAATAATTGTTTGGATACTTCGTTTAGTACCCATATCATATAAATGTCGATCATATATTACTCAAAAGACAAAGATTAATGTATACCGGGTGTCCCACTAAGGTCGGCCAGGTACGATATTATGGAGACCATAGTATCATGTAACTTGGAAACGAATGCAGATATTGAATTGCGGTTTGCGCCAAAATGTAGATATTTTTTTGCTCTTTAAGCACAGCAATACAAATATAATATTATGCCATTTGGATTTTTCATGAAAATTAGGAAAAACTGGATCTTGAATAAACAGAGCCCTCTAGCAGACGCGGGGGGAACTATCGACCTCGAACGAAGTGGTGTTCTTAATAACAATGAAATTTTCTTCCAAATAAACCCAAATTGAATGAGTTTGAATGAGGGGTATGGAAGATACAGCAATTTCAAAAAAAAAAAAAATCACCAGCTTCCCCCACCCTTATTACTGAAGATACGAAAAAAAGCCTAATAACCAAACTGGCGCAAAAATTAATGAACTTTTGATTTCTGTTGTTAAAACAGTATCTTAATATAGCGATTTCTTGAGAAAAGTTGAATTTTTAGCTATATCATCGTAATTGCGCCCCCTAGCGGTCATCCTAGAAACTTGAAAATAATTTCCATCAATTTCTCTTGGCCGATTTAGTGAAGAAAAAAAAAATCCCGAAGCCGTAAGGTCTATGGCTTCCATAATATCGTAAGGTCCGTTTCACCAGGGTTCATACTTGACCTTGAAACTTGAAAAAAAAGGGTTGTCGTAGATTGATTCATATCGTCGCTGATCTCGCATAGTGGCGTAAGCGACATTCCCTAAATTTTACAAGAGATTGATATGGTGCATGTTAATCCAAAAATAATTGGATAGTATATTAATTCATATTCTATGTAAGTACACTGAGGGGTATAGATAAAAACTATAATAGTCAAATCGGTAGACCTTGCTTCTAATTTCTCAAAAAAGGCACTAAATGGACATACGCCTGTCTGCCAGATTCTTATTGGATCGATATGTCAGATACGCCTTGGATGGTAATATGCACTAATAACAATCGGTAGCGACTAACCGTTGTTATTTAAAGAAAATTAAAGGAAACTAGTGTATTAAATCAACGAGAAATATTTTAATTAAAACTAAACACACTAAACAACCTATTTTAAACGAATTAATTTTTCTAAACTGGAACGAAATTAGCACTAATTATTATTATGAGGAAGATCCCTGAAATTTTTTTGAAAAAGTTCATTTCGCACAACGGGCGTTTGTCCTCCACAAAGTTGAACTAGGTCATTGTATTTTTTTGCATCCAATTGTATGGAACCATTATTAAGTTTCAATAAAGGTTGGTTCATCACTCCCAAAGCGTTTCTTTTCAAAGAGAGAGTATAGTAATTTTCGGCAAGATGACTGTTTTTTACAAAAAGACGCGTATTTTGATGTTTTTTAACCATAACTTCTTTGACCTTTGTCCAGTCAACATCTTCACCAGAGTCAAATTTTCTTATTGAACGAATTCTAACTTTTTCAGCCTGGGCCTTGTAGTTATAGAAATCATCACTACTCATTGTGATTACGTTATAGGGCATCGCTCTTCTGGCTAGTTTTAAAATAGGGGGTAGTTGAACAGGTATAAAAATATCTCCTGCTAAAGATATGGCATGAGAAATTGAGCTGTGCGCAGAATCGCCTTCGCTCTGACTATGATTTGTTTCAAAGTAACTTAGAACAGTTTTTTCCATATTTTTTGCATTTGTAATTACGTATAGAATCATAGCTAGAACAATAGTGTTGCGGTTTTGGCCGCTACAGCCATCTGCAAATAACCTGACTTCCTTGATCCCTCGATTGTCTAGCTCATTCAGATATCTTGCTACACATGTTGATATTTCGTTAGCCCCTCGCTTACTTATAGTTTCATCCCAAAAGAAACAATAGCATTCTTTATTTCCGATATTGTAAATTGTAAGGTTGATTGAAGAGAGGCGGCGACGAAAAAATAAGGCACTCTCTTTACTTTTTGGAAGCTGTATGACTTGTTGTAGGTCAAATACAGCAGCAGCCAGAACGCTAGGATTTAACTTTGATGTTTCCTTGGCTTCTTCTTTTTTCCTGCGAACAGATATCTTTTCAGCAGTATGATTATTATAAGCATCCTCGAGTTCCAGTTTTCTTTTTTCATCAGCTTGCCTGTATGACAAGCACAAAGTACATTGATCCTTCTTAGGATGATGAAAGGAAAGATTTAGAGATTTAAAAGTCCGTCGATATGTATGATAACTACAATGTGGTTGGTTGCCATTATCGTTTTGGTAAAAATAGTAAATTTTTTTCACAGTCAAATCAGGGTGTAAGTATTCTCGTGAAGAGGACTGCCTACAAAAATGTGACTCCATTCTAGGAAACTTCTGAATGTGTTCTAACGCTGAAGCTCTCATTTTTGCATCGTTTTCTTTCAACATTTCATGTCGCCCTCCTCGTCTATCGGGCTCTACTATCCCTTCTTCTGTTCTTTTAGATAAAGCCGTACGCATTGTCTTTTCTGAAATTCCCAAAGTGTTTAAAAACATTGTTTTACAAACTACGGACATTCCGTCACTTTTAGGAAGGTGGTATTCAAATGTCTTCGACCTACGTGAAACTTCTTTGTCTGTCCTTTTCCGCTTGATAGCTTTGATCTGTACGTGTCGTATAATAAACTCCCTTTGTTGCTGTAAGCTCTTTGTACCATAAAAAGCGTTGAATATTTTCTGCCTTTGGACATCACTAATGCTGCACACTGTACTCTTGCATTTTTCACTAGTACAACGAGGTTTCATCCCTTTAGCTAAAATAGCCTTTCCAGAGGTGCTACTGACATAAGCTTCTCCCGCTA